GACAGAGATGAACGCAACAATGATCGTCGCATCAACATTCGCGACGCCGACCGTAACGAGGGAGCTCGTTTCAATCAAACTTCTCACTGGGAATCAGATCTCAAAGTGGATATACCAGAATTTTCTGGTTCACTTAATCCGGAAGAGTTTTTAGATTGGTTACATTCGATAGAGGAGATTCTGGAATTCAAACTGTTCCCGATGAGATGAAAGTTCCTTTGGTAGCCACTCGTTTCAAACAGAGAGCTATGGCATGGTGGCAACAACTTAAAGAATCTCGTTGCCATTCAGGGAAATCGCGACTTGATTCTTGGGAGAAACCTAAAAAGCATATGAGAAAAGCCTTCTTACCGAATAATTATCAGCAGACGTTATACAATAAATTGCAGAACCTGCGTCAAGGTACTCACTTCGTCGATGACTATGCAACTGGTTTCTTTTCTTTGGTATCTCGCTCTACGCTCTCCGAAACAGAAGCACAGCTTGTTTCGCGTTTCATTGGTGGTTTACGCGCTCAACTGCAGAATGCTCTGCAGCAATTCAGTCCCGATACTGTTTCTGAAGCTCACCAACGAGCACTGGCTATGGAAGTTCAGTTTCGGTCCCCCTGGAATTCATCAACAACAAGAAATCGTTTTCAACCAAAACAACAAGCTGACGTTCCTCCTAATGCCTCCGCCGAACAAAATTCAAATCGCTTCAATTCGCTCAGATCGGCTCCTGTGCAGGATTTCATCGCCACTTCACGACCTCCGCGACCAAACACTTTGAGATGTTTTATGTGTGGGGAACACGGACATCGTCAAACAGCCTGTCCGAAACAGGATTGTCGTGGTCTAGTGATTCAAGACGTGGATGACGAATATGCCTCTGACAACGACACAAACGAGGAAGTCATTCATGGCGATATAGGACACAATCTGGTGATTCGTGGTAATTGTCTCCTACCCAGAGCAAGTGAAGAATCTTGGCTCTGATCCACTCTATTTCGTACCTCCTGCACAATCAATGGAAAGGTTTGCAAACTCATTATTGACTATGGCAGCTGCGCTAATGTGATTTCTCAGGATGCATTACACAAGCTTGGTCTCAAAGCGGATACTCATCCTCACCCGTATAAGCTTGCTTGGTTGAATAATGGAACAGAAATAAGTGTTTCAAAGCAGGCTCTTGTTGCGTTCTCCATTGGTACATATGCAGACTCTGTGTGTTGCGATGTTGTTCCCATGGATGCCTGTCATCTTCTATTAGGACGCCCCTGGCAATATGATAAAGATTCTACACATAAGGGATGCAACAACACATATAGCTTTCAGTCTGGTGCACGGACGATTACACTACTCCCATCTAACGAGGTTTTTGAATCATGCGGGTTGCCAAAGAGTACTGCTTCCCCAGCTTCTGTAGTTTCTCCGTCTCAAACACTATTACTAATCCCAAAAGTAGAGTTTGAATCACAGTTGTGTGATTCACCTTTTGTGTGCGCATTGATCAATACTCCGTCCGCACCTTCGCTTTCTGCTACTGTTCCGCTGGTGTTTCATTCACTTCTCGCGGAGTTTCAGGACGTGTTTCCTGAAGAACTACATGATATGTTACCACCACTTCGCGATATTCAACACCAGATCGATTTAGTACCTAATGCCTCTCTTCCGAACCGACCTCATTATCGTATGAGTCCCCAGGAACACGATGAATTGAGTCGAAAAGTCGAAGCACTCCTTGCAAATGGTCATGTTCGTGAAAGTCTAAGCCCGACAGCTGTACCGGCTTTGTTGATTCTGAAGAAGGATGGCACATGGCGAATGTGCGTTGATAGTCGCGCTATTAACAAAATCACCGTCCGTTATCGATTTCCAATACCGCGACTTGATGATCTTCTCGATCAGATTGGGCGTGCTTTAATATTCACCAAACTTGATTTAAAGAGTGGATATCATCAAATCAGGATTCGCCCCGGAGATGAATGGAAAACAGCTTTCAAAACGCGTGAGGGTCTCTTCGAATAGATGGTCATACCTTTTGGATTGTCCAATGCACCCAGTACATTCATGAGAGTGATGAATCAAGCTCTGCGACCATTCATCAGTACGTTTCTCGTTGTATATTTTGATGACATCTTAATCTTTAGCGCAGATTTGAATTGTCACATTAAGCATTTGTCGGAAGTGCTTGCTGTTCTACGATGAGAAAAGTTATTTGGTGCCCGACAGAAGTGCATCTTTGGGTCCTCTCAAGTACTTTTTCTGGGTTACCTCGTCTCTCACAAAGGGTTGGAAGTGGATCCAAGTAAAGTCGAGGCTATTAAAACTTGGCCTACTCCCACGTCCATAAGTGAAAGTAGTTTTCACGGGTTAGCTTCGTTCTATCGACAGTTTGTCCATCACTTCAGCAATATTACGGCACTGCTTACTGATTGCATGCGTGGCTCCACTTTTAGTTGGACCCCTGAAGCTAATCAAGCCTTTGAGACGATCAAACAAAAGCTTCTCTCTGCTCAAATCTTAGCTTTGCCCGACTTCTCTGTGGTGTTTGAACTTCATTCTGATGCTTGTAAGTTTGGTATAGGCGCGGTGCTAAGCCAACATGGACGTCCTGTTGCATTTTACAGTGAAAAAATTGCAGGTTCGCGCGCTCGTTAAAGTACTTATGATGTGGAGTTCTATGCCATTGTCCAAGCAATAAAACATTGGCGCCACTATCTCTTTCATCAAGAATTCATCGTATATACCGATCATGATGCTTTGAAACATTTGAGTAGTCAAGACAAGATTTCCGCTCGTCATGCCTCTTGGATCGCGTTTCTCCAGCAGTTTACTTTCGTGATCAAGCATCAATCTGGTCGTACTAACAAAGTGGCAGATGCATTAAGTCGCCGACACTCTTTGCTCGCAGCTTTACAAGTTTCCGTTCCCGGTTTTGCTGCTCTTGGTGATCTTTATGAAAGTGACCCTTTCTTTGGCTGCATTTGGTCTGAATTGCAACAAGGCTTGAGTTTGGACTTTGTCTTGTTAGATGTTTTCATCTTTCGCAACAATCGGTTATGCATTCTTGAAGGCAGTTTACGGTTACAGTTGATTACGGAACTTCATGAGGAAGGGCACGTCGGACGAGATCGCACACTTGAGTTAGTAGCTGCATCATATTTTTGGCTTTCGTTACGTCGTGACGTCGCTTGCTTCATTGAACGACGTGTTATTTGTCAGCTTTCAGAAGGACACGCCAATAACAGCGGTTTGTACTTACCTCTTCCGATTCCCACTCAACCTTGGACAGATATAAGCATGGATTTTATCTTGGGATTACCACGAACACAACGAGGATTTGATTCAATCTTTGTTATTGTGGATCGTTTCTCAAAGATGGCTCATTTTATTCCGTGTAAGAAGACAACGGATGCATTACAAGTGGCTCAATTAATTTTTTTGCGAGATATACAGTATTCATGGATTGCCTTTGTCTATTGTGTCTGATCGCGATTCTCGCTTCTTGAGCCATTTTGGCGTTCTCTTTGGAAACTTCTGCGCACCAGCCTCGATATGAGTTCCACCTATCATCCACAATCTGACGGGCAAACAGAGGTAACTAATCGGTCTGTTGGGAATATGTTGCGATGCTTGGTGGAAAATAACATCAAGATTTGGGATTCGATCTTGTGCAAAGCTGAATTTGCACACAATCACGCTGTCAATAGAAGCAAAAAATTCAGTCTGTTTGGCGTGGTTTATGGATTCGTACCGTGCGGTCCTGTGGATCTTAGTGTGTTACCAGATGCAATCGACTTTGTTGCCAACTTATCTTTTATTCACGCCCAAGTTCATGAAAATCTTCATGTTTCTTCCGCCAAATACAAAGCTGACGCTGATCGCCATTGTCGTGATGTTCATTTTCAAGTTGGTGATCGTGTATGGGCTGTTTTAACAAAAGATCGCTTTCCACTTCGAGAATACAACAAGCTGAAGGCACGCAAAATAGGTCACTTAGAGGTTCTCGAGCAAATCAATACTAATGCCTATCGTCTAAAGCTTCCTCCTGATGTTCGTTGTTCTGATGTGTTAATGTGAAACATCTGGTTTCGTATGTCGCAAATGAGGAAATCCAAGATTTGAGGGCGAATCTTTTTTTACCCCGGGTGGCCTGATGCAGTGTACATCCTTATTCGTTTGAGCTTTGGTTTTTAAGTTAAATTTCCTTTTCTTTGAGCTTTTCCTTTTCTTGATAAACAAGGTGTTTTCCTTTTCTTAAACTAATAAGGCGTTAGCTTTGCCTTTATATATCGTGTAAACCTTGGCTTGTAGGTCACAACTTTATTCAATTATTAATCAAAGAAGCTTTGCTTTCTTAAACTCTTGTTCTCGGCTAGAACTTTAGTCTCAACGAGCTCAAGAACGTGTGATCGTTTGGGTATTCAACAGACTAAACAATCGATTCCACAAATCTTATCGGTTACTACATCAATATTCTCTATCGCTACATCTTCTATGTTAAAGAAAGAAGATATTGTCTACATATGGTTTAAGAGCTTTTGTAAAACTTTGACGTTTCTTTGTGATTAAGAAGCATTTGCGTGATCTTTAACGTATTAATGAAGGGTTTTTCGGAAAATACTAAATGCGTATGATTTAAATACTCTTGATCCCAGCGCCACACAAAGCATCACTGGAAAATTTGTAAAAGCTTATGCTCATACAATCTTTAGATATCCAGTACTTTATGGTTAAATATTCCTTTTAATGAATGATTTTCCTTGCAATTTTCTAATTAATGGGTTATTTCATCTGTGTTTTGAAAAAGACATGGTTTTTTTCAAAATTCTTACATTTTTCTATTTGTCCACTTCTGCTGATTTCTTAAGAAACTACATTAAAGATGAATTCCCAATAGTATCATGCTATCTATACAAACCTATGTGAAGTATGAAATACAATAGCGGAAAATAGACACAACCAAGACGAGTTTCAACACAAATTATGTAAAAGTATCTTTGTTTTCATTCATTAGCTCGAGCAAATCACTACTGTTCACCATAAACAGCTTGTGCATAAACACATGGATTTTCTTGCGAATACAAAATAAAATTGCAACAACGAAGAACAACACAGAGAGAGCCAAAGAGGCTAAAAGGTAATAAAATTTTGTTTAATTGGAATCTTTGTTTTAAGTACACATTAAATAAGGATCTTTATATGATCCAAAGAACTAATTAAGAAATGGGAAGTCATGTGAACCCAATCTTCAAATCTGACTGATTCTGACAACACAATAATAATCTCAGGAGTAAAAAAATTAACATAGCATAGAGTTTGCAACATTTATTCACACCCAGGCTTGAAGCCACCACATAAAGAGACACATCAAAGGTCATGTTTTTAAGGAGATGACTCCATCGAGAGATGTCAATAAGGCAACAAGGGCTTTATTAAAATACCAAACATATATTAGCAAAATAGATAGAGAAAAGCATCCATCCGCAAGGTTAGATGCTAATCAAGCTGCAGCAACAGCTACATTGTGCTTCTCAAGCTTCGCGTGGATTTCATCTTTCGCAGCACCAACCACCTTATCGAGGACCACATCTTCTCTCATGAAGATGAACGTTGGCATTGCCTCAATATCAAAATCCTTAGCAACAGTCTGAAGAAGAACACACACAAACAAGCAAGTTTAAGTCCAGAGAGGTTTTACTACTACTAAGTCAAGTGTTTTGTTTGGATTATTGAATACTGAAGCATCGATGAACAACTCACTTTCAATTCGTCAACGTCGACCTTGAAGAACACTACGTTGAGGAACTTCTTGGCGTACTCAACAAAGACGGGTGCGATGAAACGGCAAGGTGGGCACCATGTTGCAGTGAAGTCAATCACAATCTGTGTCATTAGTTTCATCCACAACCAAAGTTTAGTAGAAACTAAAGAACAAAATCGGTAGATAATACAACTCATACATACACGAAATGGGTTAATTATGATAACAAATGTGAAAAACGAATGGCCATTTTCATGTGATTTCACAGAACATGTTGCAGTGAAGTCTATCACAATCTGTCTCATTAGTTTGATCCACAACCAAAGTTTAGTAATGAAGGAAGCTAAATCGATAAGATAATACAACCTATAGATATACAACATGGATTAATTACATTTACACGATAACAAATGTGAGAAACGAATGGCCACTTTCATGTGATTCCACAGAACATGTTACAGTGAAGTCAATCACAATCTGTGTCATTAGTTTCATGATCCACAACAAAAGTTGAAGAAGGAAGCTAAATCGATAAGATCATACAACCCATAGATACACGAGATGTGACAAACAAATGGCCATTTTCATGTGATCTCTAGGAAAATGAAGCATCGAATCAAATTTGCATAGTTTTGTACAATTTCATCATACTTTATCAACTGAATTTTCAAATTTCAATCGTGTTACTAGGGTTTCAATTTCCCAGATCCGGAGTTTCTAAACTTTCAATCGACCTATTAGGGTTCATCAGTTTCATGTTGAATTTCACGCCGAAAATTTCGATCCGGGTATCAACAAGGTCATATTCAAAACCGAATTACGGATCTGTCATGTTCCAAATCAGAAGGTTTACAACACTCGATAAGCAGGATTTAAACGATAAGAAGCCGTAATCGATTAGAAAAACAGAGATCTAAAACCCTAATTCGTGAATTTCGAATCGAGAGGACACACGGAAGGAAAACGAGAAAGAAGAAGTACCAGTTTCTTAGATTCCTTGGCAGCCTTGAGCTTCTCGTTCCAGTCCTCGACGGTGTGGCATGCGATGACTTCTCCTTCTCCGGCCATTTTTTTTTTTCACTTTTGCTTTCTCGTTTCTTCTCTGTGTGTTTTGGGATTTGATTTGATGATTTGTTGAACAATTCCTTTGTCTTCGGTCGGTTCTTATAGAAAAAGGTGGCTGTGAGAGAATTTCGAGTCTACCAAATTATTATTTTACTTATTTTATTCTTTCCTCATTCAAAATGTTATTTAAAATGGGAAAAAATATAATATTAATATTTCTCTTTGACAAAAATGGACCAAAAGGTTTTTATCCACCACGCGAAGGAATTCGATGCGTGATTAGGATGATCTAACGGCTGAGATTGAACGAAAATGGGAATCGGCATTTTGGTGACGCGTGTAGTGTACGCTCCCTTTAAAATATAAGAATATGCTAGAATGGATAGTTTTTGGTGTAAGGGAATGAGTACTATTTTTGTAAAAAGAATATTTAGGTAGTTGGCTACAGGAAATGTCTTCATATGACACAATTAAAATATGCCGACGTAATCAACAAAATAACTTGTCGAAATCAGACGATTTACAACAGTAGAGTATGATGAAATTGTACAAACCTATGCAAATTTGATTCGATGCTTCATTTTCCTAGAGATCACATGAAAATGGCCATTTGTTGAAATTGTACAAAACTATGCAAATCAATCCTGCTTATAGAGTATGATGACATTGTACAAAACTATGCAGAATTAATCAATAAAATGACTACAACATAGTCTACCAAAATCTTTTTTTTTTTTAGAACGGGCCTTCAGTCTACCAAAATCTTAATTTGTCGAAAAGGTTGAATACTGAATATTGTAGTCTAATAAAACATAACAGCAAAAATAGTTAAGTCGACAGATGGTACAGTGTTTTAAATTAGAAACCATTAAAAATTACATCTATAATATATAAATGTTAAAGGTATAGTGCCTTTAACTTGATCTGATCGAGAATGTCTACATATGATTAAAAAAATTCGATCTGATTGGTTCACATCAGCATATTCATTAAACAAAAAAATGTTAAATATGATTGAAACCTTAATTTCATTTTAAAAATAAAAAAAAAATTAAATAAAAAAATTAAGTAACAAATCATATCTATTACTAATAAAAGTTGATGTTAAATGCTTCTAAGGGTGTCGACATAAGATTTAAAGATTCAATTCTATTGGTACACATCATCATTATCTTTAGTTAATTATATATTGTATATTAAATTAATTAATTTTGTTATTTATTTTTAAAAGGAAAATTTCTAATTTTTAATTAATTTTGTTTTTGTTGTTATTAGGAAATTTTCTAAATTTTAAATTAATTATTAATAAAAAAGGTTAGAAAGTGGATCTTATTTTTCTATTTACAACAAAAAGTAATTTAACATATAAATAGATTATTAAGGAAAAATCATATATATTAAACAAAATAAATTAAAAATCTATTTAAAACCATCATTAAATTATTTTATACTAATGAAAGCGTTCACATAGAACATAGAAACTCAATTTGATTGGTCAAAATCAGCGTTTTTATCAAACATATATGATTAACAATTTAAATAAATTAAAAACACAAAAATATAAATTATCATAGTATAATGGGAAGTTAATATAAATTATCATATATATTTCAAATGAGTAATTAATTTAACAAAATATTAAAGTTAAATTGTTATATAAACATATAAAATTGTTATTTAAAACTATCAATACTACAAAAAAAATTCATGTTAAATTAACAAAAAAAAGTCATCAAAAAATTTGATATATAGCCTAATTATTTAGAAAATCAACACAAAAAGCTTAACTAACCAAAAAATAATATTTTATACTATTTACTAAGATAAAAACATTTAACTAACACAAAACAAAACAAAAATTATTTCTTACACCATGTCAATACAATTAAAATGAAAATTCATATCAAAAAGGTTAAATTAACAAAGAAAAAAAAGGAAATTAACTAACAAAATAAATATAAAGAAAATTAGTAAGAGAATAAAAAAACTTAAGTCACACTAAAAAACTTAACTAACAAAAAAAAAGATAAATATCTAAGATACTTATTTTAAAATCAGTATTAAGAAATTAATTAATCAATAAATAAAATGAAAATTAATTTTTACAAAATTTTATATTTAAAAAATTCATCTAAAAAGAAATTGACTTGATATATGTCTAACTACTTAAGAAATCAATATAAACAAAATTTAACTAGCAAAATAACGAAAAATGAAATTATGTCTTAAAAAATATCAATATTTTGTGTTAAAATAAACTAGAAATCAGTATCAAGAGAGGTAAATTATCAAAGGTAAAATTCGTATAAAGTAAAATTAGCTTGATATTTAGGCTAATGTTTTGGAAAATCAACATAAAAATATAATCTAAAAAAACAATGATGGTATAAGCTTTTGAGATAAGTCCACATAAAATTTAGAATATCGAGCTATAGCATGTCAAAACAATATTATAATTAAAATTAAAATTTAACAAAAACACACTTATGTAAAAAAGATTAAATTAATATATATTCTATCTATTTAGAAAATCAATAACAAAATAACTTAATTAAAAATATATATGTTTTAAGTATATCAAACATGCAAAAAATTATATAAATTAAAATAAAATATAAAATTACTATTAAAAGATATGTAAAATAACAAACAAACAAAATCTAAAAAGAAAATTAGTTTGAAATTTAGTTCCAGAAAATTTATGATTTCTCAAATATTGGTATTCACGATGAATAACCATATAAAATTACAGTATGTTATACGAGTTTCTAAATCAAATATATTATTTAAATTTACAAAGACTAATACTTTGGCTACGTCTGCTTTAAAAACTAACAAAAAAATACAACACAAGTAACTCTACATTCGAAATATAACAAGTAATAAAGTCTGATTTTTTATACATAGCTACTACTTATAACTTAGCCAACATGAACAACACATGATTAACACTTTCTAAAATTTTATTTAAATAATAATGTATGACAATGTTATGAATCAAATTCAAATTGGAATATATCTATATAAACTATTCAAATCAAAACATGAATAAAACACACAAAAGATAAAAACAGTAAAAAATAATGTGAAGACTCCACACTATCTTACATGTTTTAAAAAAAAATTTATCAAATAGTTAATTGCAAATAAAACAGATTTAATAAATTAAATAGAGATATAACCTGAACTTCGTAGAAGATCTGATGGAGAAGCAGAAGAAGCTTTACAGCTATTGTAGCATCCTAACAAAAGTAACTCTGAATCAACATGAATCATATATTATGTATGCATAGTTACACAACATCAGTGAGATATTTAATTAATAACTAAATATTTAAACATATAAAATCTTAAAAAAGAACAACTATAGAAATCCTAAGGATACAAGACAAAATACCAAAAGTTTAGTAAAAAAATCATTTTCTAAATCAAATATATACACGTCGAAGTTGAATAATTCGTTGGATGTCATTACTATGATTAGACTTAATAAGATTTTAAATTTTCTAAGCAAAAAATAGGAAAAACTACAGATTATGTTTTAAAAATTTTTTTATAAAATAAAATTTCTATAAATATATTATAGTTTGTATAATTTAAAAAATATGAACCAAAAAAAGAATTAAATCAAATCATTAATACAGACTCGCGCGTAGCGCGAGGATTAAAAAATTTGATATGATTGGTCCACATCAGCATATTCATTAAATAAAAAAATGTTAAGTATGATTAGAACAGAAAAACTTGATTTAATTGGTCCAAATCAGCTTTTAAATCAAACCAAAAATTATTAAGTATAATTAAAATATTAAAAGTTAATTTAACAAATTATGTCCAACAAAAAAAGTAAATTCAATCTGATTGATCCAAATTAACATATTTATTAAATCAGAAAATGTTAATATGGTTTAAAAATTTAAAAGTTAAATAAAAAAATTAACAATTAACAATACATGTATAAAAAAGTAACCATTATCAATTATCAATTTAAAAAAATCTACAACAACTCGATTTAACAATTAAAACAATGAAAACTGAATAAAAATATAACATAAAACTCTAGGAAGACATGATGGAGAAAGAAAAAATGGTTGTGCATGATCATTACAGCTTCCTAACAAAATTAAATATGAATCAACATGATTCATGGATTATATATACAGTGGTACACAACATCAATAATAAGACTTTCAATAAAAAGCTAAATATTTTAACACATAAACCTTCAAGAAAAAAAGAACTATATAAATTCTATGGAAAACAGAAAATAATACCAAAATCTTAGCAAGATTATATTTCTCTAAATCAAATGTATATGTACGTCAAAGTTAGATTATTCGATAGGTGTCATTGTTATTATTTTACCTAATAGTTTTTTAAAATTTATAAATAAAAATAGGATAAATTACACATTATATATTCAATTCTCTTATATAAATGAAATTTTTTATAAATATATATAATTTTTAATAATTTTAAAGATAGTAGCTAAAAAAAATAAACCAAAATATTAATAAAGAAAAAATGGTTTTGTGTGATCATTGCAACTTTCTAACAAAACTAAACGCAAATCAACACAAATCATGGATTATATATACATAGGTACTACATCAATAAAACATTCAATTAAAAAAAACTAAATATTTGAACAGATAAACCTTAAAGAATTTTTTTTTCTAGAAATTCTATGGAACAAAACAAAATACCAAGATCTTAGCAAGAAAACTCTTCTTTAACTCAAACGTATATGTATGTCAAATTTGGATAATTCGAGAAATATTTCTTAGCTAACAAATAGAAAAGAAAATTATGTTAAAAATAGTATTTTTCAAAATAAAATGGAAATTAGTTTTTAAAAGAGATAAACTAACAAAAAAACCAATATCATAAAAGCTCAAACTTATAATGTAGACTAGGAAAATTCTAACTTCTAAATTATTTGACAAGAAAATAAAAAAAAAATATTTATTTCGTTTTATAGATGGAAAAATCAGAAAAAGCTTAAGTAACAAATAGAAAAGAAAATTATATTAAAAAAACCAAAATATAGTATTCTTTGAAATTAAATGAAAATTTAATGTAAAAAAGTCAAACTAACCAAAAAATCAATATCGTAAAAGTTAAAACTTATAGCATAGATTAGAAAAATTTATAACTTATAATGCATTACACATATACAAATATATAATAATGTTATATAC